AACATGCAGGTTTCCGTCCAGCGTGTGTTTGTATAGTCCGCATATCCACTCTGCTGGCAATTGCTAGAGCAGCGTCACACGTATCGCAAACCCACAACAAATGTATTCCTTGACTTCAAGACTGCATTTGACTCCGTCGATGGATCGATTCTGTTCCAACTAATTGCACGGACAGCTGTTTCCATGGACTATGTAACATTACGTATCCTGTACTCACGTCAGGATATGCAGCGACTTGTCGGATGCCTTTCTGACAACAGGTGGCGTTTGTCAGAGTCGCCAAGTTTTCGCACTTTTTTCACTTTTCGTGGAATCCATCATCTTGAGGAACCTCACAATGCGAGTATTGAAATTCTGCCTGGCGGAAAATTAACTATGATGACGATATTGTCTTGTTGTTTAACGGTGTTGGGGTATCCCCGTCAATCATGGTTAACATTTGTTGACTGTTCCCATCGTTTGGAGTGCGCTTCACATCTTCCATGTGCAGCGTTGCTGCAGGACCATCAATCACTTCTGATTCCTAGACCATTTTTGGCGAGGAATTCGAGTTAGTTGGTCAATTTGCGTACTTTATCAGCTGTATCATCTACGCTGGACGTGTGGTTGTCGAAGTTACTTTACTTCTTGTGGAATATTCTTCCTGAATCTGCGACATCTGTGACGTCACATGAATGTTTACATCGGTCTACAAGGCCGTGTTTACTAACCCACATTGAGAGTCGTCCTCTTTTATGGCATTGCGAATTGGCATCTTTGGTCTCAGGGTTTGATCATCGCTGCACACAGATCATTGTTGATCTCTTGTACCACTGGCGTATCCGCAACAATGATCAGCGTAGACGAGTATTAGGCAGCATAATCCTTAGAACAACAAATAACATAGAATAACTTGCGTTAGCTTAGACACTTGCTACTAATGCCCGGTTGCCACTTACCAAAAGTGCCATGTTATGTTTGCCGATTGTTGGTTGACGCGTGGCTCGAGTTAGGCCAAAGTTGACTTGGCAGCAGGAAATGAAGTCACTTGCGATCAAATTGAATCCTGTTAATCCTCCCTTCTTTCCAGACTAGAGTCTACGCGACCCGATTTGTGCTCGGCTCCAGACGTTACAGGACATGACTGACAGTCGGCATCTGGGGCGCATTTCTTACTTTCTCGTAATCGGACTGCCTGTTTAAAGTGTATTTAATGTTGAGTTGTCTGCGAGGTAATGACTAATTATGACGCGGAGCAGTGAAAGTCGCAAGGAGACTGTTTTGCCGATGTCACCTTATCTTTGCACAATAGCCAGCTGTTTGTGATGGCATGTTGTTGGAGCGCCGCCATGTTTATTGGCGACCCACCATAGTCGTGTTCCTAGACACCAACGGGGCTTTTGGTTCGGTTGATCGATGTGCCCTTTGGGACTGTCTATTCTGCAAAGGTGTGCCCAAGAAATATGTGAATGTTATCCGAGCACTATACACGCGTAGCTCGGACAGAATGAGGGTTTACGGCAAGCTGTCGCCCCCTTCATTATCTCCAACGGTGTGAGACAAGTCTGCCCATTGTCACCTTTCCTCTTTAACTTCCCATTGACGTCGTTCTCCGGGCACGACTTGGAAATTGTGAACCTACTCCCTGGTGAACGACTTCTCAATTTGGAGTATGCAGACGACATTGCGCTCATATTTGACAGCCCCGAACGTGCCGATCTGCTCTACATAAATTAGCGATTTGGGCTTCACTTTACACCATCGAAATGCAAGTTCTCCAAGGTTGGCAGGGACTCACTCCTGCACTGACCCTTGGCGGTAATAATTTGTACGTCATCGGGAAATTCAAACATCTGGCCAGCTATATCAGCGCCAGTGGAACGGAAGATAAGATCACGAATCGTATAGCAAAAGCTACATGCGCTTTTACTGATCTCCGCCATCTGCTCTAAAGCGCAGAGTTTACAATGCAGCCGTCCGTACAACCCTCCTGTACGGTTGCGAAACTTAGCCCATCAAGTCGACAGACATAAGGAGGCTAGTTAAGTTCGACTATGGTTACCTTCGCAGCTTAGCTCATGTTTGGTGGGAGCACTGCGTGAGCAGTGAGCTTGTTCTGTCTTGCGTATTTGGTGCAGAAAGAGCGAGTGAACTGCCCAGCACGGTTATATCACGCACCAGGCTCCGATGACTGGGCCACATATTGCACTTACTATCGCACCGACTCCCGCATCGTGCGTTGTTTGCGCACCCGGGGTGTGGATGGAATAGGAGGAGGGGTGACCAAGCGATGACTTAGCCGAGAGGAATGAAGTCCTTGACTTTGAAGTTAGCGTCGGTTGGTGTTTTCGTACTGCCTGACTGGGGTCCGAAGGATGATGAGCACAGTTGATCGGATACACCAGCTGGCATGGCGAGGAGTCGACCTCAGTGTTGTTTGTGTTGTGACTCTTTTTGTCCCTCCCCTTCCATCTAGCTTCTCTCTCTCCAACAACCACCATAATGTGATATTAGCATACTATTGTTTTTTATAGTTTTAACTCTTCACTGCTTAACATCTTGCTTTTTTGTATTGTGGCACATTTGTTGCGGTGTGCTTCGCACCCTCGGCAACGTGTATGATGATGATGATGATGATGCTGTTGTTGTTGTTGATATGCTTTAAGCGCCTTGATCCTTAATGTTTGTTTAGGGCATTAAGGTTTTACGCAGGGTCTTTCTTCTGCCCATTGTATTATTCTTCATTCCGTAGGTCATAGTGGTTGTTCGGCCCAGAGCATCAGTTCAACTAGCCTATGCACTGGTTTCGTTATCGTTTTTTGGTTCGATCCACATGTTGACACGGTAAAGAACCACCTCAGTGGCCTTTGTACTGCGTTTTCTTCGTCCCTCCGCATCCCGTTTAGGGCCTCCTCCAACCACGATCTCACTGTCGATGCATACGAATAAAGTAGCATAAAATTGCTTGTTTCTGTTTTGTACTGTGTGCTATGTGTTTTTTAATGCATATTTTCTCTCACCACTATCTTCTTGCATCGTACTGCGGCACAATAGCCGAGGTATTTCTCGTCTTCAACCAATGTTTGAAACGTATACGATCTCTTAACCAAGCTCGGAAAAACGATCAACAGGTGAGCAACCAAGCCGGGCTACCAGTGTTCCAAATTATGACAAAAAGGTGTTATACAGCAGCGGTGTACGCTAGCGTGAAACTGTGGCGAAGCGAGGCATATTGGCCCGACGACATTCATCGATGATCACTGAAAGAACGTAGCAACTCACTTGCGGTTTGTCCGCTCAATTAACCAAATATATGAATGTCACCTCCCTAACCGTTTTAATGATTAAACCGAATTCCGTCCCAAGAGTCATCAAAACAAGGTTCTTAATGTAATTGTCTTCAAATTGCTCAGTGCTCACTGGTCCTCGAAAGAATGGAGTTTGTGGAAATCAGTCTGGCTTCCACTCTGGTAGATTTTGTATTGACTACCTTTGCTTTTTAATCGAACGGCGCCATTTATGCGGTATAATTGTCTCATTGGTCTCTTGATAAAACGGTCACCTTTGCTCCGGTTGCTCGTGCATGTTTTCAGCCCCGCCCATCTGTCAAAGGCCATCGCTGAAGCTTATTTATATTCTGACTTCTCTTTACTTTGTAGTCCACGGGTAATTCCCTTCCTCGTTTTCCACGTCAAATAAAGTACGATGTAACTGTCCTTTCTGTTTTTCTTCGTGATCGAATAGGTCATGTGTGACTATTATGTGCATTTCATACGACCAGCTCTTACTCAAACGCGGCCGGCTTAGTTTTCTTGGGGCTAGCGACATCTACCATACGAGCGCCTATACATAGGCTGGCACAGCGCTGTAGGTTTTGGCATAGGCGCCGTATCTTTATAGCACCGTATCTTCAGCGCTGGTTTTCACGATTAACAGAAATTCGCTCGAAGTAGTTGTTGACGACATTATCACACGTGCCATGGCACACATTGGTAAGGCCCCTTATGTCTTTCTGAAGCCTTACTTATCTATGGGGCCAACGCGACATTAACCTATTAATTGTGAGCAGAGGGTACTACGTTGCATGGTTTCCTGTGTTAGCCTCTCACATTTAGCAGTATGGCTATCACACACTGACAGCAATAAGAACCAATCTGTTTTTGCTTTCAGTCGCATTTGTGGCATTATTCATATCTTGTAAAACGACTCACTGCATGAGGACTGCTCAAATCAGTCGATTAATGCTTGGCGACAAATCCTCTGCTTTAGCATTGGATCATCTTTTACGCCTGAACCGCTGGTGTTGGTGTTATCATGTTCTTCGTACGTTTTTTGGCTACATATCTCGGCCTGCCTGTCGCTGTTTGAGTGAAAACCCTACTGGTCTGGCTGATAACGCGATAGCATCATACCGAGAAAGCTATTATGTCTGATTACCTCCATCTTCTTGGATACGGCTTCGGGATCGTTGTTTGAGAGTTGTCCAACATAGTGCCGTCATGAAGCCAGCTGCACTCAAGCAGTGCGTTATCTTTATTGCTGACTTTCAGCGACTTCCTTTTGCTTTTCCTACATTTTCGGGTAGATTTCTGCTCATTTCAGTTTACGTTTTTCTTGTTATTTCTTCGTTTCTTCTGTGTAAGTATGACATACGGTGTCTGGATCCACCTCATTTCATTACTCAACTTATGGTGAACTAGCCGATTGCGTACCTTGTGTTGGGGAGTTGCTACACACAGGCTAAATTGATGTGCACGTGCTGTACTCACGAATCAATCGCCAAATATATCCGGTTACTTAGCAGGCGGCTACGAATCACTTCCGAATTCACCGCGATTCGAACACATCTTGCTGATCGGACGAATTCCTAATACGCACTATGTTTAGTCTTGAGTCTCCCCTACCCTTCGAACCTCGTTGCCATTTGTACAATCAATACTATGGTTTCTTATTCGGACGCTTTCTTTTGCCGCTGTTTCTGCTTATGCCATTGTTTATTTTCTGTTCTTTCTTCAACGAAGCGTACAGTCGACTTGAAGTGCGAATCTGATCCGATGGCCCCTGATCCGGATCGCCAATGTGTTGTTTCGCTTAGTTATCGCTTAGAGGAGTAAGTATTTTTTTAAAAGAAATATTCTGCTGCTTTTGTTTAATCTCCTATTCGTTTCCTGCTATTATGATTTTGACTTCGTTGTCCTCAGATAAGTACCTAACGCTTCCAGATTTTCTTACATAAATAGATGACCCTGTTTCGTGATACGCGAGATAATTTCCCGATTGGGGAGAACAAATTTTACCTAGAGCAGTAACGGACTTTTTACGTGCTCTGCTGCTCGATGAACTGGTTACATTTGATTCTCTCAGTTCAAGTGGATCCGCATCCTCGATTTCTACTTTCTATGGTTCATTCCTTTCCTGACTTGTCTAGTTACTCAGTGTTGCTTTCGGAAATACAATCCTGGTTCGCGCACAGCAAGCGTCAGCTCAGTAATCGAGTGGGAAGAAAATGGGGGTGGACGCACCAGTTTTGTACAATATGTGATAATGAACAGGATAAGATCGTGATGGATTTTTGACGACATCTACACTTAATGTGCCAGATGTATTTTAGAGGGCTAACTAAACCAAAGCACATGTTTAAAGCATCCTTTCTCGTGCGTACAAATAAAGATGGGTTCTCCAGTTGAAAAGCCCAGCCGCTTGTGGGTTTTTTACATTTCCATACACAATGGGTTTCCCTTCTTTACTTGAATTTATCAATCGACATAGTTCTTTCCACTGGTTCTGCTCGAAAATACTTCTTCAAAAGGACATACTGTCACGGAATTTCGAATCTTCGCACCCACTTCTAGTTCGATTTTTACACTTTCTTTTCATTTCTGTGCCATTAATTCTACTACCACGAAGATGCCTGTACAAGCAGCCAACTGGTGCCACATTGGCGGTGGTCACATCCTGCTGGATACAAAGAACTTGTTTCAATTCAGAAATACCGCTTTTTTCTCGAGTTATCTTGTTGTGGTCGTCACTACATCACTTCATGATGTAATACGCTAGTGCTGATAACACCGCTGGGTCACACATTATATTTTCGATTGCGGAGCTAATATTCCGCAGTCTCCACAGATATTTGTTACTTTAAAACGACGAGCGCTTTCTTTCGACAGTCCGATTTCCACAAAGGTTACAAATCGCAATGTCTTTTTCACTTTTGCACACTTTTAAAGCCACATTAGAAGTATTTCAAACTAAACCGGATACAGCTATTTCGCATAGTACATCATCAGTATATTAAGAAGGAAGCAGCTAACATCAAAGACTACTGGTATAAGGTATTCATGTTCGTCCTCATCTTTCGAGTAAACTTTGCGCAATTCTGCTGCTCTGCCGTTTCGATCTCTACTAGTCAGGTGTAGTGTTGGTCCGCAGACGCTTCACCGACATCTTCAGCCTCTGAATTACGTTTTCTATCCGGTTCAGCATGTAGAAGGAAGATGACAGAAAATTCAGCTGATAGGATGAACCAAGGATCATTCTTAAATTGTTTACGTGGATTTTGTTGTGATCTGTAGCTTTCTGAGGGTTTTGAAAGCCTCAGTTACGGATACGTGGGTCACATTCTCTTTCAGTCGCTGCTGTATCTGCTCCAGTTTTATATGAAAGTCGCTCAACGGTTTCCTCGATGCGTCGGAGGACGTTGTAAGCCAAATTCTTCCTGTTATTTCCCTCGCATTCGCGCTGAACAGTGGCGCCTTCTCATCTGCAGGCGTTGGTGACGTTTCTTTCTGCGCTTTAGTATACCTCGGCGGCTGACTAACTTCGTGGCTGGTCTACCAATTGACGAATAGAACCTTGGTAAGGATCTCTCTTTTCGCCAAGATTGTAGTGTTGCTACCTCCAACGTGCGTATTCTCGTCGTTCGCTGCTCAATTTTGCTTGTTTCACGAAATATAAGTTAGGGTTAGTTCACTTACCGCCGGCTGCCATGACCATTAATCTGATGTTCCATTCAGTTTTCTTCAGCTCATTGCAGTCAAATTACAAGCGGGTAGCCAACTACCAATCTAGCAAATCACCAGCCTGCCGTTTCGTTTTATTGCTACTCGTCAGCGGTGCTCATTCTCTCGGTCGCCGAACCCATGAGCGCTATTAGCTTGCGCCACTAGCCAGCAGCTTATGCCACTGACGAATTGGAGGGGGTTGCGATAGCTACTTATCATGTATTGAAATCCAACTGCGATATAGCCCGACCCATTCTGACACCTGAAAGTCAACCACTGTCCTCTGCAGGCAGTGACCTACATTACCTACATCATTCCTTTTGAGTTATCCTGATGGCTACGCAGTTTGGTTATCATACAGTTTGATTTGGAAAACCTCCAGTCTGCTTTGATAAATGCTCTTGATGGTTTGCAAATCGTTCAGTTGTTGCAAAACGTCCAGTTTAAGGCGAAAGCCATGTATATATGCAAGCTCCTCGTCCTGTATAAGTGATTAGACCTCTTAGGTTGGCATCTTACGAGCGTTTTCCTAAGGATACTTACGCGACGAACCTCATCAGCCATTTGCACCGATGCTTCACTGTCGTACAACCACGGTGACCCAAGTAACGAAGAATCGTAACGGATAGAAGAGGAACCTAGCGTAAAACCTTAGTGACCAAGTCGAACCTTCATGGTCCAGGCGCTTACGTCTGCTCATTAACATATCGTCACAAACATCTAGCTATCATGCGAAGATAAGGCGGCATCGGCGAGACAGTTTCCTTGCGGCTTTCACTGCCCAGCGTCATAATCAGCCATTACCCCGCAGATAATTCAGCACAAAACATACTTCAAACCATCTGTTCAACTGCGAGACGACAAAAGACGCGCCACTTATGCCGACTGCGGGCCATGTCCTGTAACACCTCTAGCCAAACACAAGGAAGTCAAGCGGACTCCAGCTTGGAAGGTGAAACGGACCACTTGTGGATTCGCTCGGCATTGTTTTTCTATTGACTTAGTTGGACCCGCCCGCTGTCGAACCATCACATTTGTTGCTGATTTGTACATCGATTGATACTGACGTCCAATGGCTAGCGTTTAACATCAAACGTTTGACTTTTCGCGTCTACATCGGATTAGTCCAATTTTACGCAAGACTGTTCGTCTTTTTCAATCCTTGCTTCCCACTAATACTGCACCTGGTCTGGTGAAGGCCCGTATGGTCTGTCAACGAGATTGACCTGGCTTTTTTGTCATGCTGCTGCCTACCATCTTTCTTTGGTGATGGTCTGGGATCGGCTCGGTCATTGGTTAGCTACTTTATTTAACATGACCGAGTCATGGTGCTGGTGTTGTTTTTTATTTTTTTATATCATAGCGGCAAGTATTGTGCTAACTGGATTCACCGTGCTTGATTAACCCATCTTAAGATGAACTCCTCAAGTGGGGCAGTCGTAAAACTTGATGCCGGATTGGTGCAAGGACGAGTACCACCAAAGAGTAACTCAACATACTGGGACTCTTGCGCGCCATTTTTTGTACCGATTACATGCCTGAATGTGGCGACTATTCGCAGACCGCGCCAAATAGCAGCTGAAGCTCACGGTGGCGCCTTAGTCGGTTGCGTTGTATCCTATTATTCCTCTCGACTGAGTGTTTCAGGCCTTTGTTTTTAGCTCATGGCTCGCCGGTCCGCATGCGACTGTCAGTCTTCGCCCATTGATCTCTAGGGCTTGTTTTGTAAACGCAGTGGCATGAGCGTATCACCTGTAAAGACTACGAAGCCTATCGTAGGTAATCGCACGAGATGCGACAAGGAAAATGTAGGCTATTAGTGGATGTACGATTGGCGGGATTGGGCCCGCGCGCTTTTTCCCTCGGTCCAATGCCACCAGCCTTGGCACGAGTATGCGCTCCTTCGCCTGCTGGTGCCTGATTAGTCAATTGCACGTTCAGTGATTGGTTGTCGGCTGGACGCGATCACGGGCCAACTATTTCCTGATTGGCTGACCAATCTGCTTCCGGCAACATGCTCACTCCCTATCGGTCTGGCCTGTGACGTTCGATCGGCATTACAGCATTTCCAATCACCAGCATTTCCAGCCCCCATCACATCCTTTCCTTTTTCGTTTTTTAGTATGGCGTTACAATATGTTCCGTATTGCCTACCACCTCGTATGCGTTTACTATCCTGGACTTGGGTAGCAGTATTCCTCTCCGGTTGTTGTTGCTGACTCTCTCTACGGTGTCCGCTTCTGACGCACTCTTCTCAGTTGCACCCATTCCCGTCGAATGAGATTGCCCCCAACCTTGACTTCATAGTTCCTCCCTCCCTTCCGGTCTTCGACCACTCCTTTCCGCCAGCATCCACTGGATTCTTGTAATGGCTGCACCCATACTTCTCTTGTACCTAGTGGTGAGAGGCTTTTCGATCCGCGATCATAGTACTTTTTTGCCTTAGCATTCTTTTCCGTAGTCGGTCGTGTAGAACATCGGACGGCGCTATCTCGGGCTGCAGTAGAGTTGTGGCGGTCGGTATTAGCGTTCTTTAATGGCGAACCCAACGAACAATGACACATACAGAGTCACATTTATCTAATCACACAACATGGCTACTTCCAAATACAGACATAAACATACTTTTTCATGTCAACAGACACCTACATTCCTATGCTATTTGTCAACCTGTACTAATTTGTGCAATTGCCGATCATACATGTCTGTATTACCATGATCACGCCCTTGATGGTGTGCCCCGCAATGACCAGGATAAACTATTCTTGTTCGGCGACTGAATAGACGCTGTGCAGGATTCACTGAAATCAGTAGATAGTATATTCCTTCGATCCAGTAGCATTATGTACGGATCTTGCTGGGTCTCCTTGGCTTTTGTAAGCACTTTCTTCGCCTCCTTCACTGCGGACTCAGCCTTACCGTTTGATCGGCCATGGTATGAGCTGGTTAGCCGGTGACGAAAATCCCACTTCTTGCTGAATGCATGAAACTCTGCACTATTAAATTGCGGCCCGTTGTCTGAAATCACCACCTCAGGTATTCCACGCCGAGCGAATTGGCATCGCAAGTTGTTCACCACGGATTGCGTACTAGTCGTCGTAAGCGCACCGATCTCGAAGTAGTCACTAAAATAATATACCGCAATCAAATAGTTTCTTCCCTCGTGAGAAAACATTTCTAGTGCAACCATCTGCCAGGGTCTGTCAGGAACGTCACGTTGCATCATCGGTTCTTTTGGCTTGCGTACGTCGTGTGCTCTGCATGCTACACAATTGTAGACGTAGTCACGTATTTGGCTGGTCATTCCGGCTCAGGACAACAGCTCTCTAGCAGTTGTTGGTTCCTAAATGTGCACAATGTATCAGCTCCAGCATCGAACGCTGCAGTGCCTTTGGAACCACTATCCTGTTGCCTTTGAATATTAATCCATCCTGAGTAATGAGTTCATCATGAAAATGGAGGAACAGAGTCAGCTCCTTAGGTAGCTTTTTCTTGTCTTCGATCCATCCGTTCATGATCATGTGCTTCAGTAGGCTACACAATTCGTCCTCCTCAGTGTATCGTTGGAGATAGTGCAAGCGTTCCTCAGTGACGGCGATCAGCTGTGTTGCATGGACAGCATCTGGATCTTCTTCCTTTCCTGGCTAGTCTGACAGGTGCGCTCTTGACAGCGCGTCCGCAATGTGCATCTGGGATCCTGTACGGTAGACAATCTCTTGATCATACTTCTGCAGCCGAATAAGCATCATTTGCAGACGGTGTGGAACAACATGGAGCGGTTCGCGGGCGATCGACACTAGGGGCTTGTGGTCAGTAAAGGCGGTGGATTTGCGGCCAAACGTAGAGTCATTGAAACGCTCCACGGCGTAAACCAACGCAAGCATTTCTTTCTCTATTTGCGCGTAACGACGCTCGGTCTCTGTCAGCGTCCGCCTGAGAAAGTCAATAGGCTTACTGTTCTGCATGAGTACGGCTCCCAACCATACTGACTGCTGTCACACTGGATCTCGAGCGGGTGTGCTGGGTTATAGTAAGCGAGAAGGGGGGCGCTCGTGATCAGTTCCTTTATTTTCGGAAATGCTCTCTATGACTGCGCGTCCCAATGCCCTTTTCTCACTCTTATGCGTCAGTTTTCGAATCGGTACAATTACATCGGCTAATCTGGGCAAGAAACGACTTAGGTAATTCATCATCCCATTCAGCCTGCTAACGGCTTTCACGTCAGTAGGAGGAGGCATCTGTTTGATGGCCCTGACTTTCTCTGGGTCTACTTTCAGTCGTTCGGTGTTTTGCACGTGTCCATGAAACACCACTTCCGTCCTACACAACTCGATGTTCGCTCGTTTTAGCTTCATGTTCCTTTCAAAACAGCGCTGCAAAAATCGGTGCAAGTTCTTTTCGTGCTCCTCTCGCGTTACGCCAAAAAACCAAAACGTCGTCTGCTTCACCGAACGTTCCTGGTAAATTGTCTAAATCCTGCACCAGTCATTTCTGGAATATCTCGCTAGATACCTTCAGTCCAAACGGTAAACGAAGCCAGCGGAAACGCCCGAAAGGTGTCCCAAACGTGGTCAGGTAGCTTGACTCTTCGTCAAGTAATGCATGCCAAAACGCAGACGTAAGGTCGACTTTAGTGAATATTCTAGCTCTGGATAGCACCGGAAGTACGTCGTCTAGCGTCGGTAGCGTATGATGCTCCCTCCTGAGTGCGGCGTTAAGGGGTTTTGGATCAAAGCACACGGGTAGTTCTCCAGATTTCTCAGTAACGATCGCCACCTGGCTAACCCAATCTGTCGGCTCCTCAACTTTGGCTATTACACCGGAACTAGCGAGACGCTACAGCTCGTCTAAAAATTTTTCACGTAAGGCAATAGGCACCTTTCTGGTCGGCAACACTACCGGCTTAGCGGATTCGATTAAAGATAAATGAGCACACCCTTCGAATCTTCCTACGATCCCGTCAAACACGCTTGGGTAGCTGTCAACAATATCTGTGCTAGCTTAACACGAATGGACAAAACGTTCATGATTAAAAGAGACAAAACCGAGACTCTGATTAGAATCAATACTCAGAATGGGCATAAGGTTTCCTGAGACTATCAGGAAATCGATTTGGTTTTCTGTGCCGTTTTTCGGATTGATGGCCTTCAACGTGGCGATACCTTTCGACAGCAGCTTTGAACCATTCCACATTCTGAGGCAGTTCTGCGTCCTGTCACATGTCATTCCTACACAGTGCTTCTCAGGTAGGAAGTTGACAGTAGCCCCCTGAGTCCAGTTGGAAACGCACCGGTCGTCCTCGAATCAAAAGCGTCGCGAAAACACACTTGTGTTCTCCACGATTTTCCAAGTTGCTTATCGAAAATTCTTGTAACTGTTTGTTGATGCTCTCGGTTACTGGGCTGGCCTTAGCGGATCTGCAACAGCGAGCAAAATGGTTCTTCTTGGAACATTTTGTTCACGTTCGACCCCAAGCTGGGCAGCTCTCGTTTTTTCTTGGATGTACACGGCCGCAAAGCTGACAACTCGGACCCCGTCCTTCGGGTGTCTGGTTCGGGATACCGCGCACAGATCGGTGTTTGTTTCGGCTCTCATATGTTCTAACTGTTTCGCCGTCCTTGCTTCACTCAAGCAGACGTCCACACATTGTTCCAAAGAAAGGTTCCTTTGTCTCAGAAGGCGCCGAGTGAGCTCATCATTCTTTATGCCAATGACAATACGATCATGTATCAAGGAGTCTCGCATGCAATTGCAGAAGTTGCAGTTACGCACCAACAGTTTCAGTTCTGTTATGTAAGTCTCGAATGATTCGCTTGGCGATCGATCGCGAACAAAAAATAAATACCTCTGATACGTTTCATTTACGTGTCCTTCGCAAAACGCCCGGAATCTTCTCAGCAATTCCGAAAGTTCGACTTCCTCACCTGCCTCACTGAGCTCCAATGTTTCGAGCATCTGGCTTCACCACCCACAGCGTGCCTAAACATCGCCAACTGGTACGCCATTGGTTGAGTATCCAACTGGGTCAGGGTGACGAAATCCCTCCACTTCGTCTTCCACATTCTCCAGATCTCTGGCAGCATGCTCTCAGTCATCTGCAGGGCGGTCGGCAGTGTGATCGACGGCTGTCCACCAAAAACGAGCGGGTTCCGGCGCGTCGGCTTCTTCTCCTCTGTCCTCTTGTCGTGTTGCCCTCCGGGAAGCAAGAAGACTGAGCCGCGATCACGAAGTCGTTTATTAAGATTACGCTCGAATATTTGTAGAGTATATATGCTATTTACAACAGTCCGTTTCAATGGCTCATTCCGGTTATTTGCATTATGTCGCTTGCTCCTTTTCTATTGGTTTATGCTTGCTCGCCACGTTCACTCTGTCTAAAATCACCTTGACTTCCTTAGTGGATGTACGATTGGCAGGATTGGGCCCGCGCGCTTTTTCCCTCGGTCCAATGCCACAAGCCTTGGCACGAGTATGCGCTCCTTCGCCTGCTGGCGCCTGATTAGTCACTTGCACGTTCAGTGAATGGTTGCAGGCTGGACGCGATCACGGACCAACTATTTCCTGGTTGGCTGACCAATCTGCTTCCGGCCACAAGCTCACTCCCTATCGGTCTCGCCTGTGACGTTCGATCGGCACTACAGCATTTCCAATCACCAGCATTTCCAGCCCCCGTCACCTATGCTATACGCACTGTCTGTTCCGAAGAATTATCACAAAATTCCTGTTACCGTGCTTTTGGTATAGGTTTGCTAGCCTACATTTTGCTTATCCCATTTTGTGCGATTACCTTGTCTAGGGTTCGTAAATTCTTTGCATAGTTGAATCGGTTTGCAATGGTAATGGGATAGGGCAAGAACTGAAATCGTTCTGCGATGTGGTGAAACCGCACAGCGTTACAGTTTGCTACTTGGCTGTCTGTCAAGGCTGAATTTTTTAACTTTGAGGAGTCAGGGATTTGACAGTAGTACGAAGTGAGGATGTAAAGTGTTTCATTGCGCAAGAGTTTGAAGTACACAAGTGTAAATTTCCGTGGGGATATATGTAAGGGTTTCGAAAGAGGGATATTATGTCCTCAATAAGTAAACCAGTTTGGCGGTATATCCCAAGTTCTCTTTGGACTTTACGCTACCAGCGACGAAGTTCGTAGGCGCTATTGCGGTCTTCTGAAGTTCTCAACGCACATCTAACCTTGCAGACTTCAGTGGTTCGGTCATGTCATCCTCAGACCAGACACTGATTTCACTAGCGCCGTGGATTTGTCCTCGCCTTACCAGGGTTGGTGTCGTCGCCGTGGTGAACAATTAAAAACGTGGATCGTTGCAGTTAAATCGAATGTCGATGTTTACCAGGTTTTGCATGGTGCTCGTCACTGGAGAAATCATTAGATTAGTATCCGCGTGGAGCTTGCCGCTGACCGCCGCGCTTGGGCAGCTACAATCCGTGGCATTCATAAAGCCGGCTCATCCTGTCGCAGTAGCTAACCGCAGTAAAGTAAATAAGTAAGTCAGCGGTCGCACGGTGTCGATTCTTCGTCAGGAGTCGCATGGTACCGGACTCAAAGTTTTAAACAGGAGCGAAAGTCCATCCATCTTTCAAAACTGTCCGCTAGTTGTTGTGGCTTAGTTTGTCCAACCTCTGTTTTTCAACCGCTCTGGTGTACACGAGGCTATGGAAGCACTCAGAGGGCCCCATCTACCAAAGGTTAGTGGACTGTGGGACTACGCTGATCATCCCGCTATGCCAGGGGTTATTATCATTGTGTGAATTGTATCAGCTGTTATCCAGGTATCTCAATGGTTCTTTTTTCCCTCTGGAAATTCTATAGATATACCGGTACAACTTACACTGCTTTGAAACCGTTACCGTTATTTGTAACAGTCTTTTCGTTTACTCACTGCGATTTTTCTCTTTCTTACTGCAGCATTCGGAATATTTACACAAATTTCGTCCTCGGTTTATTGAGCAAGTTGCTTCTAAGTGGTGACAACGCACCTCTCTATCATGGTCTCATTGAATCCGGGTTTGCTTTGGATTGGGCTGGGAGCGTCTACGGAATGGACCAGGAAGCGCGAACGACCAGCTTTCACGTGGGTGTTCAAGGTGTTCGAGCTGACCAAGTTTCCGAATTTTCTGAGCGAGTGAACACCATACTTCAAAAGGTTCTCAGGTCAGTCACAGTCCCTTAGTGTAACTGGGCGTTCGTGAATGCATTATTTGTGTTTTTCTTTTAACATTTCTTTTGAACTCGGTGAAGACTTCAGGCCATCTGCAGTGATCCTTGCGACTTACTGTTTTTTTATTGCTACCCTTTAATAGAAACGTGGCAAAATTGGGACTCGCTTTTGCTACTCTTCGCCATTTGGGGCACCGACGCGACATCACACTTACTTTGAGAGACACAGTTCACAACGCAGCTGTGCATTCATCCCTCACGTACGCTTGTGAAATCTGTACCGTCAGATCGACAGACATCAAGAGGCTAACTATGTTCAATCATCGCTGCCCTCGCAGCTTAGTTCACATTTGGTGGGAGCACTGTGTGAGCAATGAGCGTGTTCGGCATCGTCTGTTTGGTGCAGCAAGAGCGATTGAACTACTTAGCACCATTATATCACATTCGGCTCCGATGGCTGGGCAACTTGTTGCGCATGCCAGCCCGTCGACTCATGCGACGTACGTTGTTTGTGCGCCGCGGCTTTGGATGGAAGAAGAGAAGAGGAGGTCAAGCGATGATCTGGTCAAGATGAATGAAGACCCGTACTTCAAACTTGGTGTCGGCGGATGTCTCCCGACTGCAGGAGTGTGGTCCGGATCAGTTCAGTCCAGTTGAAAAACCGTGATTCGTGCACCGAAGTGCTGTGTATCCAGTTGCCACGACTCACATCGCAAAAACCCTAAATAACAACGGCCAGATAATAGGTAGGATGCAGATAGGATGTAGCTAAAATGAGAGCAGGAAGTACGTTAGATTTATCAGAATGGAAGGATAATTAACAACCAGGTGCAGGAAACCGAACACAGTAACGCCACTGACTGCGTGACTGTGTCATGTCTGATACGGTCTGCAAACACTGATGTATACGATTCCGAGGCCCCCATCCATGAAGGCGGCACGCACAAGCTTGACCAAGTCTCTCTTTCAATTTCTTCACCTCATCATCATCATCATTATACACGTCAGATAGAGGTGGGAAACAACTCAGCTACTATACCGCAATATATAAAGGAAAAGGAAAATAAATACAACAGCTGCATGCCAGCTGAGCTACCAGCAACGGATAGGCATCGTACCGGTGAGCTACCAGCCGGATACTAGACAAAAAGAAAAATTATTATATTTTACGCTACGAAATGAAACCGTAGATGGAAGGGGAGGCTAAAAGGGATGGGGAGGGACAAAGAAACTCACAAAAGGAACTCCATTGAGGTCGGCTCCTTACCATGTCAGCAAGTGTATCCAGCCAAACGTGTTCATCTTCTTTTGGACCCCAACCAGGGAGCCGTGACGCTCCAACCGAGGCCAGCTCCTCTGGACCCTTCTCTTCTTCCATCCACATCCCCGGTGAGCAAACAACGCACGTCCTGGAAGTCGGTGGGCTGGCATACGCAACACGTTGCCGAGCCATCGGAGCCTGGTGCGTGAAATGACGGTCCTGATCGGTTCAATCCCTTTTTCTGTTCCGTAAACAAGGCGTCGAATATGCTCGTAGCTCACGCTGTGTTCCCACCAGATGTGAGCCAAACTACGAAGGCACTGATGGTCGAACCTAACTAGTCTCTATAGATCCGCCGATCGTAGGGGCCAGGTTTCGCAACCGTACAGTAAAGTGGAACGTACCACTGCATTGTACGCTCTACCCTTCATCATCATCATCATCATTACACGTTAGCTGGAGGTGGAAAACACCTCAGCTATTGTGCCGCAATACAAAAGGCAAGAAAAGAAAAAACAAACAAACAGTGGCACGCCCGCCGAGTCCCCAGTAACGGATGGACATCGTACCGGAGAGCTAACAGCTGGCTGCCGTAAAAGAAAGTCATATTATGCCTAACGATTGAGATCGTGATTGGAGGGGGATGCTAAACAGGAGGGGGATGGACAAAGGAACTCACAACACAAACGCCATTGGGTCCGGCTCCTAGCCATATCAGCAAGTGTGTCCAGCCAAACGTGTTCACCGTCCTTAGGACCCCAGCCAGGCAGTCGGGATGCACCAACCGATGCCAACTTCGAACTGAGGGTTTTCATTTCTCTCGACCAAGTCATCACTTGGCCTCCCCTCCTCCTCTTCCTACCGCACCCACAACGCGCAAACAATGCACGTCGTGGGAGTCGGTGTGCTGGCATGCGCAACACGTGGCCCAGCCATCGGAGCCTGGTGCGTGATATAATCGTGCTGAGCGGTTCACTCGCTCTTCCTGCACCAAATACGCGACGTCGAACACGCTCATTGCTCACGCGGTGTTCCCACCAGACATGAGCTAAGCTGCGAAGGCAGCGATGATCCAACGTGACGAGTCTCTTCATGTCTGTCGACCTGATGGGCCAGGTTTCACAGCCATATAGGAGAGTTGAACGGACGGCTGCGTTGTAAACTCTGCCCTTGAGGGCGAGAGTAATGTCGCGTCTGCGCCACAGGTGGCGGAGATTGGCAAAAGCACCTCGAGCTTTTGCTATACGGTTCGTAACCTCATCTTCAATCCCACGGGTGCTAATATAGCTGCCCAGGTACTTGAATTCCTGAACGACTTCTAGCAAATCACCACCAAGCGTTAGCGCAGGGTTGGGTCCCTGCCAATGTTGGAGAAGTACTTTGCATTTTGATGGAGCAAAGCATAGCCCAAAACAACTGACAGCCAGTGCTAATCGGTTCAGTGCTGTTTGGCATGTTTGGGAGCCGTCACAGATTAGGGCAATATCGTCTGCATACTCCAAGTCAAGAAGTCGCTCACCAGGGAGTAGCTCCACACCTTCTAGGTCGTGTCCAGCGAACGCTGTTTCCATGACTTCATCAATAGCGAAGTTGAAGAGGAAAGGTGACAGCGGGCATCCTTGTCTCACACCGCTGGTGATACTGAAGGGTGGCGAGAGTTTGCCATAAACCCTCACCCTGCACGAACTATGTGCGTACAGCGCTTTGATAATGTTTACATATTTATCAGGCACACCTTTCCTCAACAGACAGTCCCAAAGGGCACATCGATCGACTGAGTCGAAGGCACCTTTTATGTCAAGAAACACGACAATGGTGGGTCGCCAATAAACATGGCGGTGCTCCAACACTTGACGCAATGTGAATATGTGGTCGATGCAGTCCCGACCTCGACGAAATCCGGCTTGCTCTTCACGAATTTGGCTTTCACGAGTGCCAGTCACTCTGTGGAGAATGAGAGAGGCAAGCAATTTAGAGGCAATCAAAAGCAGACTGATCCCTCTATGATTGCCACATTCTAAACGGGAGCCTCCCTTGAAAATTGGGACAATGACGGAGCGGTTCCAGTCTGTCGGGACTGTCTCCTGCTCCCAAAGTTTTACTAGCAACTCGTGTAGATCACCTATTAGAGCAGGTCCACCGAACTTGAAGAGGGCTGGAGGAATAGTATCTGCTCCTGCGGCCTTATGCAATTTCAACAGCCTGATCTCACGTTCGACTTCTGCGCGTGAGGGCGGATCCAAGGAGACGGCCCAAGGAGAAGGGCGCTCAATGCCCAAAGAAAGTGATAACTCAGGTTGGTTAAATTGCATAGCAAAGTGTTCAGCCCAACGCTCCAAGCGTTTTGACAGGCTGTGGATCATCTGCCCACTCTCGTCGCGTATGGTCTCGCTAACACCAGGTCTCCTGCTGCCTGTTGCCCGTATCAGACGGTATAACTTACGATGATTACCAATGGCAGCGGCTGTTTCCATCTCAGATGCACGATGAGACCACCAGGTTTCGCGGTCCTTCTTTAGGCTAGCACGTAGTTTCGCCCTGAGATTTTTGCGAGATTCATTGTATTCGCTTCCAGCCGGAATACGTCGGCGAGCATCCATAAGTTCCAGAGACTGTGTAGAGACCCAATGTCCGGTTTTGCAATTTGTTTTGCCACATGAAGACATGCCTTCAGGGCGAGAGTAATGTCGCGCTGCCGCCATAAGTGGCAAAGGTTAGCAAAAGCACTTCGAGCTTTTGCTATACGGTTCGTGATCTCGTCTTCAATCCCACGAACGCTGGTACAGCTTCCCAGGTAGTTGAATTTCCGAACAACTTCTAGCTAATCTCCACCAAGGGTCAGCACAGGAGGCGATCCCTGCCAATCTTGGAGGAAAGCTTTGAATTTCGATGTTATAAAGCAAAGCCCGAAGCGGCTAACAGCCAGTGCTAATCCGTCCAGCGCAGCTTGGCACGTGTGGGAGCTGTCACAGATGAGGGCAATGTCGTCTGCATACTCCAAGTCAAGAAGTCGTTCTCCTGAGAGTAACTCCACATCTTCCAAGTCATGTCCTGTAATTGCAATCTCCATGACTTGGTCAATAGCGAAGTTGAAGAGGAAAGGTGACAACGGGCATCCTTGTCTCACACCGCTGGAGATATTGATGGGCGGCGACAGCTTGCCGTAAGCCCTCACTCTGCCTGCGCTACGCGCGTATAATGCTCGGATAATATTTACATATTTCTCGGGCACACCTTTCCAGAATAGACAGTTCCAAAGGGCACATCGATCAACCGAATCGAAGGCACCTTTGATGTCGAGGAACACGACTACGGTGGGCCTACAATATATGTAACGGTGCTCTAACAACTGACGCAAGGTGAAGATGTAGTCGATGCAGCCACGACCCCGACGAAACCCGGCTTGTTTCTCACGAATCTGGCTTTCACGAGCGCCAGTCAACCGATGAAAGATTACAGAGGCAAGTAATTAGGAGACGATGTAGATCAGACGGATTCCACTATAGTTGCCGCATTCCGAACGCTAGCCTCCTTTGAAGATGGGAACAATAAAGGAGCGGCTCCAGTCGGTTGGGAAGGTTTCCTGCTCTCACAGTTTCACTAGTAATTCATGTAAAGCATCAACAAGAGTAGGGCCTCCGAATTTGAAGAGGGCTGGATGAAGATCATCTAGTCCTGCGGCTTTGTTCAACGTCAACAGTCCGATCTCGCGTTTGACTTCTGAGCAAGAGGGTGGATCCGAAGGGACAGCCCACGGAGCATGGCGATCACTGGTCGGCGAAGAACCGAACATTTCTAACCGATTAAATTGCTTTTCGACAGGCTCAGTCTAACGCTGCGAACGTTTTGACAAATAGTGCATAGACTGTCCACTTTTAACACAAATTGTTTCACTAACATCAGGTCTCCTGCTGCCCGTTTCCCCTATCAGACAGACTAACTTACGATGGTTGCCAAGGGCGGCGGCCACTTCCATCTGTGACGCATGATGAGACCACCGAGATTCGCGGTCTCTCTTCAGGCTAGAGAGGAGTTTTGCCCGGAGCTCTTTGCGAGTTTCATTGTGTTCGCTTCCAGCCGTGATATGCCACCGAGCGTCGATAAGTTCCAGCGACTGCAAAAAGACCCAAAATCCATGTTGGCTATTAGACATACCACATGAGGATTTGCCTGCTGCTGGTTAGGTCTGGTGAACATATGACCAGTGACCTTCAATTGTCTCCAGTACTTGCTTACCCTACTCGCATGTCAGCGTACTTTGATAGGCATTCAGAACAGCTGGCTTTGTCAGTTGGCTGGTGTTGATGCGCTCACAGCGTCGTCGTGGGCGTCCGCCAAAGCGCATCCGCATGTCAGCACATACAAGTGCATGTACTGTGTCCACACATGTGCTCCAAATCGAGCGACAGTCCTGGATGGAGCCTCTCCAGCGGTAACTGATAGCAATGTGATCGATCTGCGTCTAAGGCTGTTTCGAGGCCGGTGGGCGCCAACGCACCCTCCGGCGGGTGCTGTGTCGGAAGTTAGTGTTCGCAAGATATAAGCGGGCATCTTCACACAAATGAAGTAACCGCTCACCGTTATCATTACGGGAGCCTACACCGTGCAGACCTCCCAGATGCATTTCGTTATCTTCACCTCACTGTGCCACGTCGTGGAGTGGCCATCTCGCTGTTTCACCTAACTTGGTGTAACCACGGCGTATAATGCGCACCTAGGAATTCGATCAACAGGTATACGGAGGACATGACCTGGCGATTAGTATTCGGCAAACACGAGTGAGACTCCAGGAAGTCTAACTAACTGGTAGACCTCAGCATTACCCTTCCGCCGTTCCCGCCAGACGTGAGCAATAATCTGCAAGCATCGGTGGTCAAACGCGGCTAACCATACACTAACACTAGCCTTATCGCAGCGTTATACACTTAACCTTACACTGACAGGCTGGTATCCCTCCGTCTCCACAGATGCTTAAGTCTCTGGAACGCCACATGTGCCTTGCTGATACGCGAAGTAACTTTCTTAATTACTTGAATACCAGAAGTGTTACAGCTACCAAGGTAAGTGAACTGATGCATCATGACCAGTGGCTGTTCGGTAATCGGTAAGACCGGTGGTCTATCGGTCTAGTCCTACAACAGTACTTTGTACTTTGAAGGTGCAAAGTGCATGCCGAGGCGTGCAGCTCTACGCCTCAGTCGGTGTAGTAGTGCTTGCATAACCACTGCGTCAGACCCAAAAGGAGCTATGTCGCCCGCATACTCCAGGTTTGTCAGTCGATCATCTCGTACCACTTACACTCCGATAGAGTCTGAAGAAAACGAGTCATTTACGATCATTTTGATTGCTACGTTAAAGAGAAAAGAGGTATAGGACAACCCTGCCCAACCCCACTTGTCTTGGGGAACTCAGGAGACAGTGCCTCGTATGCATTTACAAGGCGTCGGGAATCACGGTAGAGAAGCTGCATAATGGAAGTAGTTTTCCTGGAACGCGTCCCATAGACAACTCCAAAAGCTGGTGCAGTCAACAGCGTCGAAGGCAGATTTCAAGTCAAGGAGAACCACCATAGTCGGTCGTTATAAGTGTCTCTTTTCCAACACTTGGGGTAGGGTAAATATGTGGTCAATGCAACTACGACCAGAGCGGTAGCCAGTCTCGCTTTCGGTGATTCGGTTCTCACGTGGACCAGTAATTCGCCGAGGAATGATACTCATGAGAAGTTTGAAGACCATTGAAGACTAATGCCTCCGTGATTTTCACACAAAGTACGCTGACCCTACTTGAAGATGAGCGCCTGTATTGATAGTCGCTAGCCTGAAGGCACTTCGTCACCGTCCCAAAACGTGTCAAATTGAGGATCAAGTTAATACTCAGCAGGGTCACCTCCATTTTTCGACAAAGGTGGAGGAAGCTCGTCGGGTCCTGGAGCCTTGTTTCATTTCAACACGGAAGGCTATGTCTAATCTCTTCCAAAGTGGGAGGTGGGACATCAACTCACGTCGACCCAGGTGATTCGACAAGCGGAAATGTTACAGCAGGCCTGCTGTACTGCTCTTCAGAATGTTCCACCCAAGAAGCTAGTCGACGACGCTGAGAATGCATCAGCTGTCCATCTTTCTCAGCTATCGTCTCGCTGATTGGTGGCTTTTTTGGACCTGTGTTCCGAATGGGATAGAATAGCACTCAGCTTTTTCCAATATAGCACTGGCTTTCTCCATTTTACGGGCCCTTACCACCCACCAACTTTCCTGGTCGATACGAAGTATCGTTGCCAGGCGTCGATTCAGGGTGTTACGGGCACGCTTAAGCTCAGTGCCTATCGGAACCTGTTTCCATGCTTCGATCAACCTGACAGAGACCTTGGAGATCCATTCAAAGTTGGGTGCACAGCAAGCGCCAAAGGCATCCTTCTTGGTACACTTGTGACTACCCCAGTGAACGTTCGGCTCGCCAGCCTCATTCATCACTGACTGCTAGTGAATCAGTTCATTATGCTATTACTTAACTACAGATTACGTGTTCGTTACAGGTAAGGAGGTTTTTGAAGCGGGAATAGTGTGCCAGACGTGCGCGCACTGGAGCGTAGTCGGAATCCAGGCAGAGGCTGCAAATTAACTGACAGTCTTTGACTGATGTGCGCCATCTGTGGCTGATGGCAATATGGTCACTTTGGGTTCAGGTCATAGATGAATTCGGTGGTCGGCAGTTGACGCGGTTTGAACGGTTGTGCTTCATAGCAGTTCTCTTAAGGTAAAAATTGTGATCGCTGCACAATTGGAGAAATCGATGACCATTGTCTGTTCGGCGTGCTTCGACTCCGAAGCGGCCTCGCAGGTTTTATTCAGCATCAGGAAGACGATCCACTTGGACATTGTAGTCATCTACAACAATCATGATGTCTGTATTTTTCTCCATTCGTAGGTCTGTTGCTAGAAATCGTCTCTAATACTTGAACTGCTTTCGGTAAGGGCATTAACTGTGGCGAGAAGACCTTGTCTTCAGATCCTGTTTATTACTTCCAGTAGAGCTTCTAAGTCGAACCGCACACATGCGGCTGTTCACCGGCAACCACCCAAGCAGGTTGCTTCCAGCATGCTTGCTGAGGGCGATACCAACACTGTAAATATCTTGAGCAATTGACTCAGTATCGACAGAGACGCGAAGTGTAGCCATCATTGTCAGATTCAGAACCAGGGAGTCGAAGATTCGTCACAACGATGTGTTTTGGAAGACAGTGATCATATTGGTTAACTACTCTTGTTGACATGGCGAAGAGCGGATCTCAGTGGCGGTTTTGTTGTGAATTTCTTTGTCCGCCCATCCCCTTTCGCTCTTCCTCCTCCTCCAACTAATATCTCGTTCTCGATACGCAATATTATCTTTCCTATTTTTCGTTTTTATTGTGTATTCACTATTGACTAGTATCTCGCTTTATCATCTATTCCCATTCTTGTATTGCGGCATAAAATCTGAGATATTCCTCATTTTTGGCTATCGTCAAATGCTGATGGTGATGCTACCATTTATTCTTACTTAACGCGCGACTGTTCACGAGTGCATCTTTCCAGTCCAATTTTCGATTGATCGCTTGCCGATTTGGGTCCATTCAAATCTAGAACATGTTTCCTTGGTTTGATGCACGGAGTAATTCGCAACGCTTATCCACTATACGCATCTACCTGATTCCGTTCCAGCGATGGCTTTCCTTTGGAGCGTGTGGAGGCTTTACTTCATCAGTATGAATTGGCCATGCGTCACGAATCCGCACGATTTGGCCTACACTTGATATTCGCATTGGCCCACGCCGTGAACCACGATGCTGATGTGAAGGAAGTTTTGGAAGTACAAAATATGGTCAGGCGATTTCGAGCCGATTTGCAAACAAATCCATCTTTGTTGCTGGACTTGATGCAACGGTATCTTTTGGTATGTGGTTGTTTTTCACCATGGACTGGTTCTCGGCAGTAAGTTTTGTGACAGCGATTGCCCTCCCCCTCGCGACTCGGTGGCTGCGGGGCACCGCATCTAAGTCGATTTTGGACAGTTTTTCAGTTCTTTGTAGGGGGTCGGCTTATAAAGTTTATACGCAATTCAAAAAAGTCACATGCAAAATTCACCCAGAAATTTACTGCACACCTCTGTCCCTATCTCTTAGCACCAACTGCTAGTGACGGACGGTATATCAGACAGTGATTTGGAACGTCTCATTATTTTCGCACGGTTTCTACTCCGCACTGCGGCGGCGTGCCTATAATTAGACACGTTATTTTTGTGGCGAGAATTCTCGGTGTATTTCACATTTGACTTTCGTGACGGATGGCGCTGTACCAGAAACATACGGAAATATACAGAATCAAACATCACCATACCAAATAACCTGGAAAAGAAAACTTTCAATTTAAGGCCAATAGCATATTGAGACATTTTTGACATTTCCACAGCTTCGGAAGATTGCACTAACTTATTATACATTCCGTTCCAGCTAAATCATCTGACGTCGCGTTAGCTATATTTTAGATAGCAAATTAAAAGCGCTTATACATCGCGGTCACCACGAATGACCAATAGTAGGGCAGGTTTCGCGTGAACACACTCAACTGAGAGCAGGTAGTGATAACACAAAAATAGTGGAGAATCAATTTTGTTTCTCTTTTTGTTTGTTTTTTTTGGGAGTGTGATCGGCTAACATAGGGACTTACGATTTTGGACACATTTGATATTACAGTTACACTGTCGGGTTCACATTCGGTACTATACGGTAGATGTTTCGACTGACATCCCGAAGGTCCCGAGTTCGCGATGCAGCCCTGTTATCTCTGCCTGATGATCGCAAGTGTGCATGAAACGCATTGTTAAGTGCGGTGGTTCACACAGGGCAGTACCCATTAATTGACTCTTCATCGTATGCCATCGCGTATGGCGTTCCATGGTGTCCATCTCGATTACCAGACTAGTACGTCCAATATTTTTTGAAACTAAACCCGTGATCACTTTGCTATTTGCATTTCTCTCAGTGCTGCATACTCGCTTCCATGTTTATGACAACTACTCTGCTTTCGCGCCATACCTAGTTTACCCTTGTCCTTGTTCAGTCCCATTCGAGTTCGATTCTCACTTCACTTATACCTCTACCTAACGAACGCACGTAATCACTTGGCCGGTCATGTGATGCAGTGCTAGGAACTCGCACGTTCCTCCTGATCGCAATGACCGAATCTCAGCTTTTTATAGAGTGGATTGCAGTTCATTTCAAGGAGCATTTCTGTTTAACCACCTGACTGTCATAATTTAAAGTGCAGCGTTGACGATGTTTAGGCCACCAATTCCGATATGAATTGGTGCCAATATAATCATTCCTTTTCAGCTAGACACTGTACTCCTCAAAGTAGTTTATACTTCTGTTGAAGCGAACATCGCACTTTACTCTGTTAGCCTTCATCCATCTGTCTGACCGGAACCTTAACACGAAGATGTACCTTTGGCCTAGCTGTTGTCGATCTTTCTATTCTGGCTGTATTTCGGAGAATTTGTTAAGGAAGTTGCCAATAAGGTTGTCTCATTCTCAATTTCTGCGTGCTGCTCGGGATCGTCACACTACTTCGGCCCACCGACCGTCAAGGGGATCGAACCAGTCCGAGCTAGTGTACTATACGCCTTTGTACACGCTGTTTGCTCGTTCGATTCAACAAGCTCACGCGGGCGACTGACCTACCATGCTCTTCCATCCCGACCTAAATTTTGCCTGCGATGAGACTGGACCTTAATATGGTGCGATGGTTTGTGTGCCTCAGTGATCCATTGAGCTATGCTGGGTGGTGCTTTGATTGCACCTTCAGAGCCGCTCATACCAGATTGGTCAATGGTTAGAGGCCAGACAAACTCAGTCTCCTGGCCCTCCAGGTTAGGTGTTGAAATGAGGATAGCTCATTACTCCATAAAATGGGCTCTCTGTAGTGCAGTGACAAAACCACGCTGCCTTGCGGTAAGGTTATTGAATCAAAGGCTTTGGTTGAGAACCCTAATCGTTCTCCTGTCTAGGCCTGGGCAACCTGGCAGGATCGTGCCCACGCAATACACCATGACCTTTTCTTCTAACAATATCTGAATGCTCTGGCCGTCGCAGAGTATAATAAACGTCACCCTATCTGCTACATCGTGCAGGGAGGAATAGGGGTTTGGATGCTACTGCTCAGGATTTCCTGCTTTCTTATTCCCCCTGTTGCGCTTTTTCATCATTAGCGTCCCGTTCCAAATTCACCTTCATCTCCCGTTTTCAATCCCTAATTCTTAGCCCTCCACGTTCTCGCATCAATACTCGCTTGTCTTCTAGTTTCAACTCACACGCAATCGCAGGGCGTCGCTCCAATCCAGTCGACAAGTCCATGTTCAACCAAGCGGACAACGTCAGTTCATCCGTTTCCCTTTGGTGTCCGCGATTCTCGCTCAGACTGTCATGCCTCAATGTGCGCACTTTGCTGCAGATTGACCAACAGGCAGCTCTTGCCCGAACATTCGAGACCCTTTCGATCGATATTTTCTGATTATTGGAAACCCGCCTGCAAGGTACGAACTCAATGCTTACTCTGCGATCCCCCCACATGCGACACTGGCGGCCCATTCCCATTGCACCTGTCTGGCGATGACGCAGCTTCAAATGCAGGTCAGTCTGGCGTCGGCATTGCTTTGAGTTTTCGGGCTGAAGCTCCTCTGATCGATTGGATCCTTGCCAACAGCCGGATGTGCGCCGTTAGATTGGCTGGCTCGTTCCAGGCTTCGAAGTCGCGCGGGAACAAACGGTGCCTGTTTGTCGTTGTGGCTTACGCCCGCACACACTGCGGCCCGGATTTCTATCACCAACAATCTTCGTTACAGAGGAAGCACGCATACTGTGGTGCTCGCTGATGATCTAAACGCCCAAGTTGGAAAATTGTCCTCTGATGAGCTTCATCTGGGCTTTCCTAATGGTAACGATGAGCTCTTACTAGACCTGTGTGAAGGGGCTCGTCTCTTTCTTGCGAGCACTAGCTTTCGACATTACACCCGCAGAAAAGTGACTTTGCGCCCACCAGCTTTGGGCCAGTCATGGACGCAAATCGATCACATCGCGATTAGTTACTGCTGGAGAGTCTGTATCCAAAACTGTCGCTCAATTTGGAGCACTAGCGTGGACTCCGATCACGCTCTCGTGGGTGCCGACCTGCGGGTGCGTTTCGGTGGACATCCGCAACGTCGCTCTGAGCGCATTGATACCAGCCAACTGGCGAAGACAGGTTTTGTGAATGCGTATCAAACTACGCTTGCCTCTGGGCTGATTAAGCGTTCATTGAACACTGTCAAAGATCACTGGTCGCATATTCGTCAAACGTTACTATCAGCAGGCTTGTCTTCATGTGGCAAATCAAATTTCCAACCTAGATATTCGGTCTCTACAAAGTCTCTGGAACTAATGGATCGTTGTCAGCCTATTCTGGCTGGGAAACAATACAGTGAGACTCGCAAGTATCTCCGGGCAAAACTGCATGCTAGCCTGAAGAGAGACCGCGAAGCCTGGTGGTCTCATCGTGCATCGGAAATGGAAACAGCCGCTGCCGTTGATAGTCATCGTAACTTCTTCTGTCTGACGCGGGAACTAGGCAGCAGGAGATCTGGTGTTAGCGAGACAATACGTGACGAGACTGGACAGCCGATCCACAGCTTGACAAAATGCTTGCAGAGTTGGGCCGAGCACTTTGTAGAGAAGTTTAACCGAGCTGACTTATCACCTCTTTCGGGAATTGAGTGCCTTTCTATTGGGCCGCCTCCTTAGATCGGCCCTCACGCGCAGAAGTCGAACATGAGATCAGGTTGTTGAAATTGCAAAAGGCCGCTGATGCAGATCGAATTTCCTCAGGTCTCTGCAAATTCTGGGGACCAGCTCTTCTAGATTATTTACACGAGTTGCTAATGGAACTTTGGGAGCAGGAAACTGTCCCGACAGACTGGAGCTGTTCCAGCATAATCCTAATTTTCAAGGGAGGCTCCCGTTCAGAATGCGGCAACCATAAGTGGACCAGTATGATCATAATTGCCTCTGTCATTGCCTCTGTCATTCTCCACAGACTGACTGGCGCTCGCGTAGGCCAGATCCGCGAACTGCAAACCAGATTTCGTCGAAATGGAGGCGGCATCGACTACATCTTTCCGTTAATTATTGGAGCATCGCTATGTTTATTGGCAACCCACCGTTGTCGTTTTTCTCGACATAAAAGGTGCCTTCCATTCAGTGGATCGATGTGCACTCTTGGACTGTCTGCTGAGAAAAGGTGTGCCCAGGAAATATGTAAACATTATCATAGCGCTGTACTCACATTGTTCGGGCAGAGTGGGGGTTTATGGCAAACTGTCGCCGCCCTTCAATATCTCCAGCGGTGTGAGACAAGCTTGCCGACTGTCACTTTTCTTTAGCTTCGCTGATGAAGCTTAGTGGATGAAGTCATGGAAATAGCATTCGCTGGACACGATCTACAACATGTGGAGCTGCTTCCTGGTGAGCGACTTCTTGACTTAGGGTATGCGGACGACATTTCCCTCAAATGTGTCAGCGCCCAAAGGTTCCACGATGCACTGGACCGATTAGCACTAGCTCTCAATCATTTTGGGCTATGCTTTGCTGCATCGAAATGCAGTTATTCTCCAAGATTTACAGGGACACACGATTGCGCTGACTCTTGGTAGTGATCAGTTAGAAGTCGTTCAGGAATTCAAGTACCTTGGCAGCTATATTAACGCCCGTGGGATCGAAGCTGAGATTGCGAACCGTATAGCAAAAGCTCGAGATGCTTTTACCACTCTCCGTCACCTGTGGCGCGGACGCGACATCACTCTCGCCTCGAAGGGCAGAGTTTATAATGCAGCCGTCCGTTCAACGCTCTTATACTGTCGTGGAA